AAAAACAATGATGATTACATAAACTAAAATTTATACTTATACAAGCAATTACTACTTTTATTAAAAGTGTAAATTGAACGAAATTGACAGATCTACGTTTTCAGAACAAGTAATGGATGAGTGCGCAGGAGTTGTCTTTTCAAGACACAAATACTACCTCATCATCGTCATAAGGTCGTTAGTCGCAAGACTGTTTGGGCAGGCACCCTCATTTTTTCCTATCGTAAGCTAATCTTCGCGTTTCCTTGAAACTAGAATATCCCAGATCCGTAAATGTTTGTCAAAAGTTATTTAACGTAGGTCAGTCTCTACTCCTCTTAACTCCTGTTTTTACTTCTAATATTTCTCTAACTAGCCTTTCATGCATGATAAGGTGTTTTACTAACCTATTTCTCTATCTTCTCTAACGCTTCTAACCTTTTCTTTTCCGCCGCGCCCACCGTTCATGTTTCGCATCTGTACAGTACCGCGCTCCAGACATACACCTTTTAATAGTCTTTTCGGAATTTCTAAATTAATCGTTCGGGAGCATAGAGGTGACCTCTTTTTGTTAAAGGCTACTACAGCCGCACTATCCTCTGTTTTATATCTCTACTGTTCCTTCTCTACTGAATTATCTGACTTCTTAGATACTGAGAATTAGTTACTTCTTCTAATTCACTGCCACTTACCCTTATATTCGTTCCTTTCCTTCTTTTTCTTCCCCTGCATACCAGTATTTTTGTTTTAATTTTTTTTTTATTTTGATACAACACTTTTTGTCAATACCTATAGTCAATTAATATGTAAACTTAGGTAAATGCGAAGGTTATTAGTAGTGGCAGATACAAAATACTGTATTAACTCCATGAACACTTACGCATCTCCACATTTTTCCACTTCAAGCTAATATCTACATTTCTCGAAAATTAGAGCCATAGTACCTGATCTAATCGATATCTACCTCTGCCCCTCTTAACTTCTGTTTCTGCTTGTAATATACGTATCTCTCACTGTCCCGTCCTGTCTGAGAAGAAGTCTTATCAATCAATGTCGCCTATTTTTGTTGGCATCGCGCTCTTTCTAATATGCCTCTAACTAACTCTTCATATCCCAGAATGTGCCCTACCAACCTATTTCAACTATTTTTTATTGACATAGTGCCCTCTGTTCACCTAATCTTTCTAAGACTTCCTCATTGGCAATAACCTTCTCTCACGTTATCATCCGCCTCTAGCATCAGAAAATACTGAATAGCCTTTTTGGAAATGTTATTATTTATTTAATTGGCATCAATGTAATTTTCACCTTAAAACTCAACAGGAATCTAGGGTATTAGTAGGTCATCATATTCTAAACTAAAAAAAAAAAAACAAAACTTGGATATTTCATTCCCACCAACTATTAATGTTGGTGGGAGGGCAGCTCCTCCGGAATACGCCAGAAGGTCGGGTGGAAGGCCCTCTTCAGCCTTCTCTCAGGAATCGTCGGAATGGGTGGGTGGTGTCTCGAGTAAGAAAGATGAAATGACGAAATGAAGACAGAAGAGAATGAAAGATTATCTGTGGAGTATTACTGCCCCAGCATTTGCCTAAGTGATCCAAGAAAACCACAGAAAAACTTGGACCAAGGCAGACGGACCCGGAATCGAGCCAGCGTCCTTCCAAATGCTAAGCAATGATCTAAACATCTAGGCCATGCCGCTCCGTCATATTCTAAACACCAAGAATCTAGAAACTTATTGGAATTTTCGACGATTATTGAGTTCCGAATCATGGTACATCGCACAAGAATAGCTGATTTTTACCATTGTGATCTTTTATTTGAACTTCGACAGTTTAAGAATTTTTATAAATATTTTACATATATACAGTGTCTTGACACCTAGGGGAGGAAGACTATTTTTAAATCGCGTCGGAAACAATTTTCTTCACTCTCTCTTTTTGCTTCTACTTAAACAGCGGCAAAGTAAATAATTCAGTCTAAGAGGATTTGTGTCAACAACGGCGGCACCACCTGGGCGAAATTCAACACAATAAGGCCACTTTCATGTTTTGCGTTGGTTAGGAAAATAGAGATGCGTTTTTTATGTGCTCCTCGCACTTTTCGCTGTACCTAACCCACCTACCTATAAAATGAGAGAAAATGTCAAGGTCGATAATAAGTAAGACATCAGATGCTTGGGGATTTTACTGAAAATCGATAATGGAAACCTACCCAAGTTCATTTGTAACGTACATCAATGCAGACATGTCTTCAACATTAGCTAGAGATAAACGTATTTGTAAGTAAATGTATAGATTAAAAGCTTTTATAGTATATCGACATAAAATTACTGACGCTAAATGGTAAACGTTTTTGTTGAAACTCCCATTACCAAAAATATTATTAATACATTAAGAAAGTTCTTTTACTTTTAGTAGCGGTAAGAGTACCTACTGACGCGTAAAGCCAGGAGCTCGGGTTCGATTCTCGGCGAGGGCGTGACAGGAGCAACAAATTTTTCCTCATTTATTTGAAGTATTCGATGGTGGGAAGGAATTAAATTGATTTCACATTAATCATCATCATCATCATTATGCGGTCGTCAGCCCTAAGACTAACTGGACACGCACCTCGACTATTTCCTGTCCTAAACTAATCTTCGCATTTTTCCAAAACTAGAACGACCTACATTCTTAATTATTCGCGAACAGTAATCGAATCTAGGTTTACCTCTACTCCTCTTAACTCGTCCTGTTTCTACCTGTAAAATGTCTTTGACTAGACCTTTATGCTTGAGAAGGTGTCCTACCAACCTATCTCGCCTATTTTCTATTGACTTCCAGAGAGTCCTCTGTTCTCCTATTATTTCTAATATCTCTCCATTTCTAACCTTAACTATTCACGGTATCCTCATCATTGTCGCCACCACATTTCGAACGCTTCTAACCTTTTCTTTTCCGCCGCACACACCGTCCATGTTTCACACTCGTACAGCGCCGCGCTCCAAATATACATCTTTAACAATCTTTTTCCGTCCTGACTTATCTGACTTCCTTAGATACCTAAAATCTTTATATTCGTTCTCTCCCTACTTTTTCTTCCCTTGCATAGCAGTATTTTTGTTTTACTTCTACTTATTTTCGTACAGTACTGTTTTATCAATACCGCTTTTATTTTATTTAAAGTTTTCTTTAACTCCTCTTTACTAGATGCTAATACTGCAAATTTGAGCATATTAATCTTTTGCCCCTCTATATCTATCCCTACAATTGTACTGTCTTTAATGATCCGCGTCTTCCATGTATAGATTGAAAAACAGCGCTGACGGAGTGCATCCCTGTCTGACTCCCTTCCTAATATTTACTTCTCTACGTTGCAGCTCCATCTCTATAACTGCCTGTTGCTCTTTATACAAACTAAGTATCACTCTTCTATCTCTGTAACTCATCTCTACATTTTTAAGTATATTTAAGATCTCGTCCCGTTTAACATTGTCAATAGCTTCACTTGAATGTTTAATAATTATTAGAGAGACTATTATAAATAACACATTATAAAATAATAACGTCAACTATTTGAAAACACCGATGTTGTTTTGGAATACAATTTTATCAAATTCAGTAACATTCGATTATTATCCGGATTTTTTTTTAAAGTCGTTTGGATTTCCATTTTACCAACTGTAACTGAAATGAATAGTAATCTATAAATTTGATAAATAGACATGACATCCGTGTGTCAAAATTGTGAATAGAACTATCCATTAACATTCATCCTTTGATATCAAAATTATCAGTTCAACTCAATATATATTATGCATTCATGGCTTCGACATCCTGAAAATACTAAAAGCACAGATGTTTATGCAGCTGAAGACTTAAAACAATTGCGGTGTTTTTATCATCAGGATAAATGCTTTTTAAGCGACGGAAACTCTGAAAATGGATTATGCGAAAAACAGGATTCTATCACACTTTTGGAAAAGTTTTCCGAGAAAGTCTTCGCAATCAAGCAAAAATTAATCCACAATTTACGTAGCGACTCTTTTTGGAATCGAAGACTGACAAACCGTTTAAACGCTGATGATAATCCACTTACTTCAACCAAAAAGAAGCCTCTTATGGAGATTCTCGGGACAGAGGACTATTTGTCCGTTATCCTGTATAATCCGGAAAATAAAAGTTGCAATTCTTTTTTAGCTTTTTTGATTAAAACATTCTCTTTGATCTTCTGGGGAAGCTTCGCGTTATTGTGCTACGTGATTCTTTTCTTTATAGTTAATATCGTACGGGATATTACAATTATATTGAAACTGATTTTTATAAATTGGGAACGTTCCGATACAGTCCACTCAAAGATTATTGAAGACGTATCACAAATCGATAGAATTACGCCTGAAAATGACAAGTATGTGACACTCAGTGCCCAGTAATTATCACAATAAATAATAGGTTCTCCATAATGTATTAAACAATATACGTTAAAGTTTTTGCTTCTAATTTTGTAGCCGCTTGAGTAGTAATATTAAGTAATTAATAACAATTCCTATTCTGATGTTGAATAAACTATTTAAATGTAGTCAGATTTAATAAATAATTGGGAGCTCTGAGTTCTATCTCACGTAATATTGATATACTTAAATAAGTCACCATTTTAGAATGTTGAACAGCTCAGAAATTGCCCAGTGTAGCCTTTGGGAGGACACCGGGTCTATACCGGGTCACCCTGCTCTGGTCCGCGTACTTCTGCAGTTTCCATGGATCATTTGGGCAATTTCTAGGGCAGTAATATTTCTCAGATCATATTTCATTCATTTTTCTTCAGTCATAATTTTGTCCAATTCATCTATCTCTCCCCAGCCACCACCCACCGGTTCTCAAAATTCCTAAAAGGAAGCTTAAGAGATCCTTCCGCTTTACTTTACAAATTTGCACAGTTGGAGGGGCTAGTCGTCCACCAGCTGCTATTTAAAATTTAGTGTTTTTTGAATTTTGTATGACGGTATGACGAAATGAACATTTCAAATTTTCTGATAGGCTATATAAGTTTGGAGGAGTTCTCGGATGCCTGCAACTTGATAAAGGAGCACATGCCCGACCCAGTGACTCAGGAACAGTTATTGGAAATTTGTAGGTTAATGGACATGAACAATGATGGACTCGTGGATTTGAATGAATTTCTGGAAACGTTCAGGATGGTCGATCCGGAGCAGCAGGGTAACGATAAGAAATCAGTTAAAGGAGAAGATACTTCCGAATAATGTTTATTGAACACTATTTCTCTTGCTTATTGTATGTATATTATTAATATGGGAACAATTATTTATAATAGACTTGCTCAAAACTTACTATGTACGTTCAGTGTGTCCAGTCCAGTCGTTCGATTTTCTAATTGATATATAGCACATTTCGTTAAGGAACTGATAGAAAGTCAGTGGCGGCTGTTCAGGTGATGTAGGAAGAGAGTCTCTTCACCTATTTATTTGATAGTATGGAGCTTTATTTCTTTTACAGAATAACCATGATATTTGTTATAATAATTATTTTTTGTTTGAAGAAATTTCGTGTGAAAACGTACATAAAATTGCCGTATCTGTTTAGAGCGCTTTCTAAAGTTTTAAATAGCCCTAATAAAGGCCTTATTAATAAGGTGACCATTGGCTGGGACAGTCCCGGATTTCCACCTTGCGTCCCGGATTTTTCTAGAAGCAATATTTGTCCCGGATTCAGGTTTTTTGTCCAGGATTGTCTCGAATTTTTGAAAAGGTTCTTATTTTCAATATTTATTTAAAATTTGAACCGAAAAAATTATGCATATCAAAATACGCGGCACGCTTTAAACCATTTGAAGCATACAGTGAACTCTCGATTCTGCGAATCCCCTTCCATATTCATATAGCTGGGTGACTAAACGAAAACACCACTATGGGTTGAAATTGAATCTTCGCTATTACTTGTTAATAAAATTACGAGAACCCATCAAATATCTGAAAATGATATATACGACGAGTATGCTTAAATGAAAGTATACGTTACGGAAAAGAAAACTGCTGAATGGAAAAATAACCGAACTGCATCAATCCAAAGGTGAGTTGAAATGGTCTCTCACATTAATAATCGTGAACTTCTATTTTCAAATTTACGAAAATTAGCAGAGTTCTTTTTCTGCCTGCCTGGCACAAATGCTTCTACGGAAAGAATATTTTCTTTAATGAATAACCTTTGGACAAGTGACAAGACTCGACTTGAAATAGACACACTAAAAGCGATATTACTTACTAAAGTTAATTATGAAGAAAATTGTACAGAATTTTATACAATGCTTCAAAGTAAAAAAGACCTTCTGAAAAAAATCCATAGTTCAGAAAAATATAAAAAGGTTTGTACTCAGTAATTGTGATTAAAAAAATGTGATTCATTTAAAAAAAATACTGATTGTTATTGAAGTTATGTATAATTTTCATTAAAAAATCATATTTAAGTTATTTAACTTAACTACCCCCCCCCCTTCTAACAGTTTCCGTCCCGGATTTGAAATAAAAAAATATGGTCACCTTATTATTAAGCACGTTTGCCCAACGTTAGCCACCCGTCTCTGATTACGGAAGAGATGGCAACTGATCGATTAGTATCCTGCATCTTTATTGGTCTTTCTATTTTATGTTAAGTTTTTCGTTATTAGTAAGCCTATATTCGCTTAATTTAGTTTTTTGTCGGTTTGTTGCAACTTTTTGAACACAACGGCCGCCACTGTAGAAAATGTTCTGTTATTTATTTGAAGGAACATTGGCCTAAGAAGTTCGACGATCCATCTAAAAACCATTACCGAGCTATTTCACTAAAACGTAGCTTTCAAAAGATCCAAGAACATCTTTTCAATAATATGACACGATCTTTGTACTTCCGGAATTTAAAGTATTCATGTTTCTTATCTAGGAAGGTATTCATATTAAAGATAAAAAAAATCGAAGAACGTATAGAACGAAATACTGTTGAAATACCTCAAAGGCAAATGGCGCGATAGCAATATTGGAGATACCTTTCCCTAGCTATGTAACATATTAAATTGTTATTAAAGATGTAGTGAAGATGCATGTCAATGGGACCTCATTGCGCAAAAAGTGGATACTGTAAACCAATTTTTTTTACGCTGATTTAGGCTTTGAGTGCCGATGTCTAAAGAAACTGGATTTTCGAATTTTTGATGATATTCTAATGACACTTGATCACCGATTCGTTGTGGGGATATCATAAAAAACAAAACAGCTTCTTCTAATGATGTTGAGCTGATACTTCATCAGAATAGCAAAATTTGGTGGAAACTTAGCTTGTAATTTATGTTGACTATTAAGTCGGATAAACATCACGCGTTCGTCGGATGTACCTAGATGGTCCCGTCGTTTCTAATGAACCAATTGTGGTACGAATGGTCAGTAATGCGAATGAACATTTTCCATCGCCTGTAACTAAAAATAAAAGACCAAAAGAAGATAGGGGCAGCAAAGTCTGAAAAGGTTGCTACGTGAACGAATTCAAAATGATTTGCAGGTTCTGTCTTTTTTTGTTTTTACGTAGAAATAAATTTGATGGTATCCCTACTAATTTTCTCATCGTGTTTCTTTTACCTCTGACGTACGTTTTCAAAACATTCGCTGCTAATTTCTTTTAAATTTTAATTAACTTATTCAGTAAATAACAAACAGAATCAGTTCCTTAGAAAGTAATTTTTGTGTATAGTAAGAGATCGTTTATAATAGTGTGTCAATTATCTTCTTCTCTAGTGTTGGAAAATTTCTGTTATACGATTGTATGTATACTTATCGTTAGTCATTTTAATGTATAAATAGTATGGTTATTGTAAATGAGCTCGGCTAGAAAACCCGAGCTCAAAAGACAACGGCCGCGAAAGCCTACACATATTTATTATAAATGATATAAAATTTAATTAATTTCATAAGGATTCGGCTATTGACTAATAGAAAATACATGTTCTTCTCCATTAATTTAAGTGCATGCTTTTAATAAGTTAAATTTAAATTTTATATTGGAAAAGAGGAAAAAAATACTTAAACATATATCCAAAGGTTAGTATGACATCGATATTCCTTTCATTTTAACTGTACCTTTGCAATAATTATCATGATTTCTTCTTGTAAATTATGTAAATAAGTTATTGCTATTTTTTTTACAATTACTACTGAAAACTCCTAACTGGAATAAAGTACAAATTCAACAGAATCTTCGTATTAAACATTGAGCTGAAACTTAATATAACTTTATCAAATGTTCCTCTTTGCCAACATTTACGTTTCTTTAGAAATTTCCAATTCTTGTAAAGCTCTTTCCGGTTGCTGAGATTTCATTAAACTTTACATCAAATTTAAATTCCGTTTTCAATTACAACTTTGACACAGTTTAAATCACAGAAAGGCCGATATAAAAAAATATTATCAATAGTAAGTCAGCAGTTCATTTAAGTGATAATGTAGATATGTATTTTTTATGTATTTGCAGAAAAATCTCTTCATGTACCAAATAATCCGATGTAAGTATAGAAACTATTTTATATATACAGTGATGACCATTGATAATGTAATAGCAGTATTTTCCCAAAAGCTTCAACGTTGTAAATCGAGAGTAAATTGTAAACCAATGCACACATGCTTGCAGAACGCGCACAAAACCAAATTGGAAGATCGGGCAATTGAGTAAAATTCGTAAACTATTTATTTTTCCATACGTATATAGTCAATGTTAAGGGTAATACGTTTCTGCCAACATGCAGTAAGTTTTTCCATTCCGTCACTAAAAGATTCTTCCGACTTTTGCCCAATCCAGGGCTTGATAGCAGCCTATATAACATCGTCTGAAATGTAACAACTATCCTTTAGGTCTCACTTGAGTTGGGGAACAAGTAAACATCGCTGGATCCAAGATAGGGGTAATAATAAGGAAAAAACTCTTTAGTTGTCGGGTTTACCGTTTTTGAAGAGCTTTGGCGTTAAACACCTAACATCCACACCCCTGGCGGGTGATTACAGAATCTCACCAAAACCTGAAGTTTGAAGCGGCTTCATTCCGTCCTTATTTACCCCCATCTTACATCCCGCGGTCATTTTTCCCCTCAACTCAAAAGCTACTTCAAGGATACCTAACCCAACCTAACCATTACACCTTGAATAATAAGATGAAGGCAGCTATTAAGTCTTGGATTTGAGAAAAGTGGGAAGATTTTTTGAATGATGGAATAAAGAAAGTTGTTCCCATTTGGGAAAAACGTGCTATTTTAATATACTTTTTATCCACTCTTCCAATTTGTTTTAATTCGCGTACTACAATTATACGTGCTGTGGTTTTCAGGGTACCATTTAATTTTTAAAAACGTTATACCTGTTTAAATGTTTATTAATTCAAGGAATTCCCATTGTCGTCCCTTTCGGTATATGTACGTACAGGAATAACATGTAGGTACCTTACTGTATATTGTCTTGTTCGAAACTGCCTGCTGTAGAGTATGTTGTATATATGTTAACTAGTAAACAAACATTTCAAGGGATGTTTGAGGGGCCACCAATGTATTTGGAAAGATAGAAGAAAAGTGGTTTCAGTTAAATTTTGTATTCTTGATGAAATTGTAAACGTCTGCTTTAATTATCTTACAGATTTTATTTTAGGGAACGGGAGTATGAATACTTTCAACGTAAACAAAAAGAAATTTGAAAGTATGTCTTTGATAAATCGTACTACTCGTTATAACTCTATCAAGAAGGCTACGGATAAGAGTAGAGACAAAATGGGTTACATGCACGACACCATAACTAAATTGCGTTCAGAAATTCACTGGGCTGCCCACTAACGCTCATTCCGTAGCGGATCCATGGGTTTTTTACCATTATCCGCTTGAGTTAAGTGATTGCTGCTATTCCGAGTCTTCTTGGTACACATTAAACAGAAAACGGTGCATGAGCAATATTCACTCTCAGTTAACTTACGATTTTTGGTATATTTGGATTCGTCAAATAGGCATATCTACCCCACCTAGTGTCAAAATTTGCAACTGCATATAGATTGTACAATTATTTATTAAAATTATGAAACACGTTACATAATGGAGTCTGCAAAAATATATATTGGGCCAATACTAACTGTCTTGAAAATTACACAATTGCAAGGACTAGGAAATGTTTTCCCTCATCAGCGCCATGTTTTTTAGACTCCATCCATTTGACGGATACCAATTTTGTCTTATAGGTATATTTAAATTTAATATTATATTATGTTGTGATTGCTTTACATTATGTGACTGTTCAGAAGCATTGTGATACTAATATATTTAATTAGAGTTATT